AAAAAACACATGGTTTTAAATCTTTACGTTATATCCTTCTTTTAAGCTTTCCTTTATTTTTAGGAAAAGTCATTATGTTCTAGTGCTATTTAAGTAAATTTTTCTTTTTAAAACAGTAATTTGCGTATGAATAAATATTGTTTTTCTTGTTATCACGTACTAAAAAAATAACCTCCTTTTTCATATGAATAAATTTCCTTTTTATCACATATTAACATAATAATAATATAAAAATTCTATATTTTTTCACAATTTTTTGCCCTTTTAATCTGTTTACAAAAAAACAAACGGTTTTAAATCTTTACGTTATATCATTCTTTAAAATACTAATTTGCGTAGGAATAATTTACCTTTTTTAACGTACTAAAATAATCGCGGTTTTAATCTTTACATTATATCCTTCTTTAAATCTTTCGTTCTTTTAAAATGGTAATTTGCATAGGAATAAAATATTTTTTAAAATAATCACGTTCCATCTCTTTATGTTTGCCATTTTTAAAATAACCTCTTTTCTTGTATGAATAAATTTCCTTTTTTATCAAATATTTAAAAAATAATAATGATATCAAAATATAAAGTAAATTTTTATTTCTCAATTTTTTTCCTTGTTAATCTGTTTACAAAAAAACACACGGTTGTAAATATATACGTTATATCCTCCTTTAAAGCTTTCCTTTTTTAAAATGCTAATTTTCATAGGAATAAATTACCTTTTTTTACACGGTTGTAAAAAAATAAAAAATTATCAATAACACCCTTTATGTTTCTAGGAAAAAACACACGGTTGTAAAAACATTCAATTCCTTCCTTTTTGGTCAAATTACAATGCATTCAATTGGTATAAATGAATTAGTGAGAAGTTTCCTTTAATATATCCTTCTAAATTGGTAATAATACATAACCAATCATAACCGCAGATCTTTTTCGTACATTGATATCAACGGTGCAGGATTATAGTGCATTGGGCGGGAAAAAAATTCCCCTGTTTTTAAGAATAGAGTGATAGGCATGTAGCGTTATAGCTTATAAATTTTCTAGTAGAATACAAAAAAAACTCATTTACATTTTGTTTAGTTCAAGAAATTTGGAAGGAAAAGAAAAGAAAATGGATTTCCCTTATTTTTCTCACTAAAATGGAAGAAATTTGTTTTTTTTCTCCTCTTACATTTTGCCTTCTTATTTCGTTTTCCCTTCACTTTTTTTTTGTGTTTTCTTTCAAACCAAATAAGAAAAATATTTCCTTTCAAATTTTTTTTTCCATCATCTCTGATGGAGTCAAAATTTCACCATTTTTTGCTTTGGGGTGTGATGGAATAAATCAAAATGGATCTCTAAACTATCTGCGCTTCTTTAATTATTGAAGTAGCAGTTAGTCAAACACTGCAACTTTCGATGTTGAGCCAGGGGTCTCTTTGGAAACAGCCTCTCTACTTTCGAGTAGGGGCAAGGTCTGCGTACACACACCCTCCCCAGACCCTACTCTTGTGGGATTTAACTGGGTTGTTGTTGTTGTTTTTTCCTTTCAAATTTTCTTTTCCTTTCATTCTCAAGTTCCTTGATCCAAACATAGTGTTAGGCAGTGGCGGAGCCAGGATTTAGGAGTAGTGGGTGCGCTATACCGGGAGCTCGTGAGTCGTGCCCAGAATATTTATTTATAAAGGTAATACGGAGTATAAAACGATAAAAAAAATTAATGAATTTTATGTCAAGCTAACATTCATATAATTTAAATGTAAGTATATTAAAAAATATTACTACCTCCGTTCTTGAGTATTTATTCAGTTTAAACTTTTTTCAGACAACTATTTTCAACATTTGACCTATAATGAAATAAGATATACTCCATATATTGTTTATTAATTAAATAAAATAATATTATGAAAATATATGATATAATAAATCTAATAACACTATTTTTGTATCAATATCCAATATCATTTGTATTTAATTTGAAGTCAAAGTTTACCAATTATGACCAAAAAAATCAAAAGTGAACAAATACTCAGGGACGGAGGTATATGTACTTTGTACAATTTCTTCACCAAAACTGTTAATTTAAAAAACAAGGGTTGATTTGAGCATAATCCTCATATTAATTTAATAAAAAACAAAAAAAAATATTAAAAATCACACCAAATTAGTAGAGAAAAATCATATTATCAATTGATATACTTGCTCTTTTAAAAACTTCAAGCAGAAATATGCCACATCTCCATTATTTATGCGGACCCCCTGCTCTGTTTCCTCTCTCTCTCTTTCTCTCTCTCTATACATACATACCTACATATATATATATATATATATATATATATATATATATATATATATATATATATATATATATTAAAAAATAAAAAATGGAGTGACTGCAATTGCAGTCAATTGCTCCTCTTTGGCTCCGCCACTGGTGTTAGGGTAATGCATCCACTTTGCAATTTTTAATTAAAAAATTGTTAGTCGAATGTTATACCCAATTTTATAGTGTGTTATTAGAGCTTGCAAATTGGTCGGGGTCGGGTTATTTCGGGTTTAGGTAAATTCGGGTTCGGATTGAGCATCGGGCACTATATTCTCATGACCTAGTGTCTCCTGGTTCGGGTTGACCTCAGCTAATGACATTTATTTATTTTTTGATATTTGAAGTAATTTATATGACATAAATAGATCGGATCGTTTTTTGTCAGGTGAGTTATACATGACCATATTATTGATTGTTTTATACTCCGTGTCTTATTCATCTTTAGCTAATGAGTCGGGCTTTCTTGAAAACAATTTTATTAAAACAGGACTAAACCGACTGATCAGACCGATATATCCAGAATCGGACACTTAACCCGTCCAGTCCAACCCGGAGAAAGTTGGCAAAGCCCCATCGTATTCTTAATTTCTTATGAACAATGAAAAAAGACTTTTGGACTTTCTCTCTTCTCCTTGCCATATTTTCTCCATCTCTCTTTTTTCACCTAGGCTCTACTACTCTTCAATTCGTGCTTGACCCATTAATTAAGGAGACTTATTTTTTTTTTTACTATACTTCAAGTCCGATTCACTTTTGAAATTAAAAAAAAACCACAACCCATTGTCCTTTTTTTCTCCTTCTCTAAGCAAGAAGTAAGAAACCTCACAAATATTTCCATGGAAGAAAGAACATCAAAATACATCCTAAGAAGATCAATCTTTGCAATTCTGCAGAGCTACCAATACTTCACCATCACTGCAGCACTACTGGCTTTCCCATATGCAGCATCCATCCTCCTCCTCCAGTCCTTGACCCTTTCATCGTCTTTCGTCCTCCTTCTCCGGGCCCGCATTCGCGCCCTCTTTAACGCGTCCGGGTTCCCTCCCCACTCAATCCTCGAAAGAAAGCTCCCGGAGACCATTGCCGTGGCGGTTCTTGCCCTCCCTTCCTCCCTCTCCTCATCCCTCCTCAGCAAAGCCTCTGTCATCCACGCTCTCCACACCAGTCAAGATCATCCCAAGAACGCGTCTTTTTCGCATTTTTTCAAACTTTACGCCATTTTGATCCATACCCAAATCTGCAATTCCCTTTTTACCCTCTCCACAAACGCAACCTGTTTCTCATTGGTGTTCTTGGCATTCAACCTGGTTAATGGATTCGGGGTTTCTGATCTCCCTGGGCTCGTCCCGTTCCTCTCTGCAACAGGGGCAGTCCTTTCCTCCTTCACAGTTTCAATCACTTTCCTCATTTGCCCTTTGACACTGATCATTTCAGGAGTGGAGAAAACAGGGGGATTCATGGGAGCTCTCAGCAAGGCTTGTGGTCTGATCAAGGGAAGAACGGAAACGGCGTTGTGGTTATCTGTGTGGATCAACGCTTTAATGGCTGCCGTTGAAGCTCTGTTCCAGTACAGAGTTGTGAGGGGTTATCGTGATAATGGAGAAACTGGGAGTTTTTCAGTGGCCGTGGAGGGGATGTTCATTGCCTATTTGTACTCTGTTGTTCTTGTTCTTGAAACTATTGTTGCCTATTATTTTATATCCTCGGGTGGCTCAAAATGGAATATTGCCATCCCATACTAAACTTGATTGTGAAAATGATTAAATGAGTGAGAGCAGTGTATACACTTAAGTTAAATTATTGGATGTGTTGTTAAATATTTTCCGAATTAGTTGAGGTAGTGTTTGGCAACTAGCATTTCATTTCAATTCATGCATTTCAATTCCAAAATTTGAAATCCTGAATTTCAAATGACAAGGGGAGGTGCATGGATTTCAAATTAAGCTTTGTTTTGAATGTAAAGAATTTGATTCAAATCCAAATTTAAAATGCTTAAGTTTTCCAAACATGGAATTTAAGCCAAATCCGGATTTGAAATCCAAATCCATGTTCCCAAACATACCATGAAATAATTTTACTGTTAATCTTGTTANTTGTTAAATATTTTCCGAATTAGTTGAGGTAGTGTTTGGCAACTAGCATTTCATTTCAATTCATGCATTTCAATTCCAAAATTTGAAATCCTGAATTTCAAATGACAAGGGGAGGTGCATGGATTTCAAATTAAGCTTTGTTTTGAATGTAAAGAATTTGATTCAAATCCAAATTTAAAATGCTTAAGTTTTCCAAACATGGAATTTAAGCCAAATCCGGATTTGAAATCCAAATCCATGTTCCCAAACATACCATGAAATAATTTTACTGTTAATCTTGTTAAACAGGTGATTATTATCGTATTAATACAGTATTATCATATTAAGCTGTTACGTAGTACTCCGTATTTGTTTGGTTTTTGGAGTAGGAGTATTATGAATGGAGTATTACTACTCCCAATTTATTTTACGAGTAACTTTTATTATTTGTTGTATGTTTTTTTGGAAAATTTTTGTTGTATTTAAAAAAATTTTATTGCACTACTCTGTCTCAATTTAAGTTACTTATTTACTATTTACATGGTCAAATGTATTAAGTTCTTAAATGTATACATTTTATTTTATAATTCAACCATAATTTTCAAATAAATTCATTTGAAAATAACTTCAATGAAAATAACATCATAAACAACAACAGACAACTTAAAACATAATGGAGGGAGAAGTAAACAAGTACCGAGTATTTATTTTGTTCATGTGGGTCTACTATATATTTTAGGACTAGAAGAATTTTTTCACATCTTCTGTTATAACATTGGGTTTGAAAATATGACAGTGATGGATCATTCATGTGTAGCCTAGCAGTATTTAGATTAGAGGTTTAATCATAATGATTCGAATGTTATGATCCATATCGAGGTCAAAATCTATACTTTTTCACATATCAAGGTCAAAATCTACAAACCTTGATCAAAAAAATCAAATAGAAAGAATATTTTCAAACAAAAAGAGTATTACTTCGATAACTAATTTAAAAAATTCATAACTATATGACACCATTTGGAAAAATTTAATCTTTTAAATATTCTCCTCCCCAAAAATATCATATTACACAAAACAAACTACAATTTTATGTTTTTTAATTTATTTTATTTAAATATTAAAATAAAAATAAAGAAAACTAAAATTTTATCCAAATAATTAAAGAAAACCAGTGGAACCGGCCCAATACGAACAAGTCAAGTTAGGGTCACTTCCAAATATTCTTTTCAACCCACCATGCTCCATTCAGGGCTGGTTCCTATGAAAATCAGCCCGACCCATCCCGCGCAAACCCCTGGGCACATCTGAGGAAACTAAATTCTTGCAGTAAAATGAAACATGGAAGTGGATAACCAATGCTGGATGAATAAGATAAAGTATAGTACCATTTCATGCCAGTGACAAAGTTGAGGACTACACAACAAAATGAAATACAGAGTACTTCAATGATGTTTATTTGAAATGGATTTATGGTATTATGCAATATTTTATGATGGCAAAAGAATATGGCTCAAAAATAAATAAAAAAAGAATTGGCATTCGGTGAAAGAGGCATCTATCTAATCTGAGACCTTATTCTTTGTTACACTCCTGCTACACTTAACCCAATCTATATCCCTAGCTACCCACTAATACTGAGATACCTGTACAATGAATTCTGATGTCAATTCCCAGTCCCAACCAATTTGTTTCATGGAAAGGAACATATTCTATGTTACAATGAAACAGTCCAATCAAGTTCTATGTTCTGTACAAAGATTCTTGGACAACTTCAGATCTTCCCCTTTACACTTCTCGGCCGAAACATCTCAGGTATAAACCAAATAAATAACTTCTCTTCCATCATGGCATATGAGGAGCTACTATCAATTTGATAATGTTTCTTGTTTGTTTAATGATTGTTTGAAATCTCTATTGACACTCCAAAATTGCATTGCATGTCCAATCAGCCTCGCCAGGACCATATATACCTTTGCCTGTTGAGCCATAACTACTCTTTCAATTCAAGTTCACAGCCTTTTAATATACACTTCATACTATGAACCCCACAAAAGCCAAAGGCACTTCAGAAGTACTGTCGATTTTGTGCTCTGTGACCAAATGGATACAACCAGTGCACAAGGCGGTTAAGACAGATAGACTGGTGCCCCATAAGTTCATCGGGATTCTCAACCTTTAGGACCCTTCTTTGAGAGATTCGTGCTTTTGGCGTTCATGTTTTTAGCATTCTCCATTTCAGCCTCCTTCTGAGCTTTTTTCCTTTCTAATTCAGCCTGTTTCAAGTTCTCCTCATGGGCTTTTCTGAATAACCTCACAAAGTTTAAGAGTGTTGCAGTAACTGTGCATCAGTTATCAAACGCATTAGAATAAGGTGCATCGGAATGATCAAAAGCTTTTGTAAGTGGTGCTATTCTAAAATTTTGATAACTGATCATTTTGGCAATCAACAATACAAGCAAACAATCAGCTGGGATGCAACCTGGATTTTAGAATCTTTATACCTTTCAGGAAAATACAATTTCTAATTTCTATTTCCCGCAATATAGCTTAATGTTCACTGACTTGCATAGTTGTATATTTTTATTGATAATTTGATATAATATTTTACGCTGTTCATTGCCTAATGAAAATTGCAAGTGTAGTTTGTTGGTGTCTTGCAAAATTCTCTTAGTCTCTAACTTTGCAGTATCTTAATGTGTGCATCCTCAGTTCAACTTGTAGTGCTTCTAAAAGTGAATGAAATTGGAATCCCTTTGAAAATGTATTTTCAAAACCATGTCTTTTAAATTTAATTCATATTCATAAGTGAATTACTACATCATCTTTTAATCTTAGGTTTAAAGTATGAAAATGACAAGATTGTTGCCTTCAAAAATGAATGATCTAGTGTACATTCAACAAAACCAAGATCTTCATAATACAACTTTTAGAAAAAACAAAATGTCAGCAAACATGCCAATGGATAGATGAAGGGCTACAGAGCAAAATGAAGTTGAAAATTGGAATGTAGAACTATTGGAGAAGGTGTAGAATTCAACAAAATTGAGATGTGCAACATTTGAGCAACAAGTATTAATCAAGGGCATGAGGAACCAGGGGAAGATGTGAGGAATAAGATTAAAGATCCTTTTGAAAGTGAAATGAATAAGAATAAAGTGTCATTCCTATCATATTTAAATGCAGATGATGATTAGATCATATTGACCTAACAAGGAATTCACATATTTTGGAATACAAAAACTTTTTGCTGTTAAGTTACAGCCAGTGCGATTAGCACTTTCCAAGTGTTTTTAGTTGCAATTTGGTTGTTTTACTCACTCATTTATTGCTGTTGAATTAAAAAATTACATTCTCTATTGTTCACATATGTACTTCATTATTTCTTGTGTCATGTGGCAACGCCATATTTGACACATTCATCCAAGGACCAATGCCCCGACCAAATCGACATACTGCCTGAATTTTCAACACTGGCTGTAAAGCATATAACATCTAAGGGAGATATTTGAAATTCAATGAGGCACGAAATAGAGTTGCTATGTTTAATAGCTTATAAATATTCAAAGCTATAAGAAATATGTTACTGATCAAACCTTGCTCAAATGGGCAACGGGCGGGATCCTCACCAAAATACAATGCCAGTGCATCTGCATTTCTTCCCTGTGCATCAAAAGTATGAAGAGAAGATCAGTACCAAACAAAATTTGGATTTCATAACTAGTCAAAAAGTGGATAGAGAAAGCTTGAATTACCGCTGTGGAATATAAATTTGTCACAGATGACACCTCTGTTTCAGCCATTCCAATAAAGTCTCTTAGTGTCTGTTTATAAGCGGCGCGAATGAGAAATTTAATAAGATTTAACTAGATCTGATAAATGGATTCCAGTTTCGACATAGAACAAACCCCATCACATGCATATAAAAATGGTTAGGATTTATTATTTTAAAAGTGGATATTGAAACCTTATATAGATCAACTTTTTGCTCCGAGTCACAAGTTTATGCAATGAAAGAAAAATAAAACATTTTGAGAAGAAGTGAAACTGCATCTTCATTTTTTATTTTAAATTATTGGATACATTCAATGACCCGGCCTGTTTTTGGCCCCAAATCCGACCCGAAAATACAGGGTTTTGAACAAAAGTTTTGTTGACCGAACCCGAAATAACCCGCTAAAAATTGGTCAAACCCAACTTGACCCGCTAATGTAGGACTTTTTCAAAATCATATATGTTAGATATAATCGGGTTTGTTCACATATAACCGAATGGGTAATGAGTCAATGTTCGGGTCAGTTAGCATAGAGTCAAATAGTGTGGTGTCGTTTAGTGTGTTTTACATATTTAATTAATTAAAAAAACAGTGGGTAGTTTCTAAAAGGCAGTTATGGGTAGTTTCTATTGTTAATAGGTGTGTTGGTTTGTAATAGTTGTGTTGGTTAGTAAAAGTCATGTTGGTCTGTTCTCTATTTATATATATTTAGAGAACACAAATAATCCTGTACAGTTTTTACATCAATAAAATATTCTACTTTGCTTTGATTTTGTTGGTTGGTCCTGTCTAACAATTGGTATCAGAGCAAAAATCCAAAAAGGACCCAACGATCAAAAGGAGCGGTCTGTCTTGTGATCAGAAGTTGTATGATCAGGAGTAGAAGGGCTGCCAGATCATAATACAAAGTGTTAGAGAGTTCCTCGACAACAGATCAAAAATCTTTGACAAGATTCTTCCTCGCCTAGGACAAAAATAGCAGGTGGCTAATTTTTTCCTTTGGCAGAAGCATTCCATCCAAACAGCGCGGGAAAAACGAATCAGCGGGGTAGCTTTCGTTTAGTGGCTTGGAAGACGGAAAAGCAGGGACTTGTTTTCTGGTTTATGGTGGATTGCAGGCGGCTGACGACCCGGGAAGGAATCGAAGTTAAGAATTTTGTGAAAATTGTCGAAGGAATAAAAGTCGTGCAATGGGAGAACAACAAAAATAGACAGATTGTGACTACAAGGGAGAATAGTTAACAGTTTGCCAACCTTAACCCGAGGAAGAAGATATGCAAGGTAAACTACTATTCACTAAAAGTGATGGAAAAGAGAA